GGGTAGAGGGGGCGCTCTGCCATGAAGAAGTTCTGCTTAAAGACACGTCCCAGGGGAGTTTCTGGTACCAAAAGTTGTTTCTGGTCCCCACCTGTCGTTTTGCTCCTCAGCATGTCTTCCTAAAAACGCTGCAGGATTTCTCAAACATGCATGAATGAGTCAAAGCAAGGCTTTGGACATGTTTTTTATGAGAGTATAACATTATAACATGATATAAAAGTCAAAAAGTTGATTTTACATGATATTGCCCCTTTAAGACTTTAATTCAAACACGGTTTTTTAGGGTTTTGATGCAAACAGATTTTAAAACCCCCAACAGGAAAATAAACTGTAGTTTCAACTTTTCTTCTGTGCATGTGCAGAAAGAAACCATCCTGCAGAAATTATACACTATTTCTTTTAAGGCTTTAAAAGCTGCACTGCTAAAATTAATCACTGCGTTTAAAGAACATGAACTGGTTAAAAGGCCACTCGACTATAATTTCACAACCAATAAAACAAGTGAACACAGCTTCTCTTTGGTTCAGGATCTGGACAGCTGTACACTGTTTGAGGAGCTTTCCTCAAACCGTGAGAACACTGAGTGATGTCAGCAGGAACAAGAAGCAAAGACTGATCTGAACCAGAGAGCAGCTGTAAAAACTTACAGGTGATGTTTTCGGGCTCATGAACTCACCTGCGAGTGTTTAGAAACCCAGTGTCGCAACACGTTCAGAACTCTGTTGGTAGCAGCTCTGCGGATGATGAATTCTTTGTCACACGTTTTTTCAGAATTACTAAAACCTAGGAGGACAAACAAAAATAAAAATATCAGGAGACTCAGAAAATGTGTTTGGTTTATGGTTTCATTCTGAGTCTTTGTCAGACTCAGCTTGTCGAATGTACAGTGACCTGAAAGGCTCAAATGCATATAAAAAAACATCTTCATCAGTTTTGTTCAAATAATTACAACTTTCTTCTTGATTAAAAAATAAATAAATATAACTTGACTCAATAAATGTCTGTTAAAAATCCTGATAAAGGCTGAGACAAACAACTGTTGTTGCTTCTTTTAAAACCTTTGAAGGTAAAGTCAGGTTTAGAGGGAAGACTAATTTAAAGGGATGATCTGGTTAATTTAGAAGTGATATTATGTAAAAATGTTATCAATAGTTAGTACCCTATCAGCTGTGACATTAGACACAAAACAGTATGAAGAACATGGCAGACGTTTCATCCTGGCTAGGCTAAACAAGGGGCCATTTTTAAAAATAGTTTTTCATGTTTATGAAACATTTTTCTCTTAAAAACGTCTAAGCTCATTTTAGCTAATATTGAATTTTCACTCATTGCTTCAAAAATGGCCAAACTATCTGTTTAATGTGCATTTAATGTGACAAAAAATGGAATAAAATATCTTAATATTTATTAAATTTGTTATAATACACATGAATGTGCACACATTTTGTGTGAGGATTTGTGTTTTCTGTTGTCTTGTGTCTACCTCTCTCTGGTGTTTCCTTATTGTCATTACACCTCAGATGTTACCTGTCACTTCCCTCCTCAGTCTATTACTCACACCAGTCAGCAGTTCCCAATTAGTGTTTTTCATCAGCTGTAGTTCATCTCCTCATTTCCTCTGTTTGTATATACAGTATATAGGTCTTGTCCTCCACACCCTCAGTGGATCATTGTTTGGCATGTCCAACTGTTTTGTTTTGGTTTTCCCTTGTCTCCCTGTGCCTTCGGAGTTTTTGTTAGTTGCTGCCTCGTCAGCCTTTTTGTTTTGTTTTTGTTAAAATAAATCTTTTTTTCTTAAAACTCTTACCTCCGCCTGAATTTGGGTTCATTCCTCCGTTGTAACCGTAACATTTTGTCACATAACTGGCATCAAAGGAAAAAAAAATGTATAGGTCCTCTGGACGGGTTCTTCTTTAATGAAACGTTTCGTCTCTCTTCCAAGAGACTTCTTCAGTCTGAGAGTTTCAGGCAAAATTCAGGCTGTATGAGTCCTTTAACAGCTTTATCCTACAACCGCCGATAGCTGGGGCTGTGATTTCCTGAAACAGACCTTTGGCTCCTGGTGTAAAAATTAAAAAGTTATTGAGGAT